CTCCTCCCTACATGTCCAATCGTATTACATGCATGCATATATGCCTTCCCCAAGGCTGTCACCTAGCCTGCACCTACACTGCAACCCATGTCACCTCTAATTCTCCAAATGGGATGACGACACCTTTCAATTTTGTTCTCATTCATCAAGTCAAATGGCACCTCCCTACATGTCCAATTGTATTACATGCATGCAGAGATGCCTTCCCCAAGGCTGTCACCTAACCTGCACCTACACTGCGACCCATGCCACCTCTAATTCGCCAACTAGTATGGCGACACCTTTCAATTTTGTACTCATTCTCCAAGTCAAATGGCGCCTCCCTACATGTATAATTGTATTACATGCATGCATAGATGCCTTCCCCAAGGTTGTCACCTAGTCTGCACATGCACTACAACCCATGCCACCTCTAATTCGCCAATTGGGATGGCGACAACTTTCAATTTTGTACTCATTCGCCAAGTTAAATGGCGCCTCCCTACACGTCCAATCATATACATGTATGCCGAGATGCCTTCCCAAAGGCTGTCACCTAGCCTGCACCTACACTGCAACCCATGCCACCTCTAATTTGCCAACTGGGATGGCGATACCTTTCAATTTTGTACTCATTCGCAAAGTCAAATGGCGCCTCCCTACATGTTCAATTGTATTACATGTATGCAGAGATACCTTCCTCAAGGGTGTCACCTAGCCTGCACCTACACTGCAACCACCTCATGAGTGACACATATCATGCATGCACCCACCAACCACCTCATTTATTCACTCTGTGATAAAAAATTTCCTATAAATACAGAGCCTCATATACTTGTTTTGCATCAACAATCATCTCACTCTCTGATACAAACTCTTTCATTATCTCATACAATTTCAACTATGACTCTTCTCATAATGGGCGAATCTCACAGAGGCACAAGGGATAACATTACAACGTTTGTAAGTTTTTATAAATTCTTAAAGATTCTTGTATACTTATAAATTTTTTATAATATTATTAATGCTTTATACATCTTATGGACTCTTACACTTTTTATATTTTGAATTTAGGATACTAAAAGATTCAGAATTCAGTCACACAACTACATTGCTCTCGACTCATTGATCGTGCCCTATCTCGAATATGCGGGTTTCAGAAATGTTATAAAGATCTCCAACTGCATGATTGATTCAAAGTTTATACTTCCAATATTGGAAAGGTGGAGACCCGAGATACACACATTTCATCTATCAATAGGTGAATGTACCGTCACACTAGAGGACGTGTACATGTTATTGGGTCTCTCTGTCGACGGTAAGACGGTTAACGAGTCGGTTCAACAGCCCAACTCTCTGTGCGAGGAATTGTTGGGCAAAGATATGGTTGAAGGTGGTGGTGCTAGAGGCCAAGGTATTTTACTTACTGAACTAAAAAAACATTATGCGACTCTGGAGTTGAACGAAAACTCCTCTGAGTTAGCTAGAGTAATAAAAGCTAGAAATTATATAATGATATTTTTTGGAACCTTTTTATTTCCCGAAAGTACGGGGAATAGTGTAAATTTCATATATTTAAATTTACTTAAAAACTTTGAAAAAACTAGAAAGTATAGTTGGGGTTCTGCTGTTTTAGCACATCTATATAGTTCCTTGTGTAAAAATGCAACCAAGGAAAAATGTATTTTTTATGGATGTGTTTTCTTACTCCAAGCTTGGGGTTGGTGGAGAATGGAGTCCCTAAACCCCGTCAACAACAATGCATTCATTTTCTCATACGCAACAAAGTAAGTCAAGAACTTATATCATTTATTATTCATCTGTTCATCAAATATATGATAAAAATTAACTCTTTTACAATTCCTTTAGGTACTGCGTGACGGGTATGGATTACGGCAAGAATCCCAGATACAATGTCGCTCTATATCACAATATATTGGATCACCTTGGCCTGGATAATGTACGTCATACCTTTGAAATTTTCTACTTTTAAATTATTTATTTATTACGTTTTCATTAAGCTGATTTAATTTTATCCACAGTTTATCTGAAGACTATATTTGGGTTTGGACCATGAACCAAACTCCGAGGATGCAGAAATTTGGACTGCAAAGACTGCAATCATACGGTTCAACATTGTGGAGATGCACCATAGCGACCGTGTCAAGATGCAGTTTGGAATGCATCAAGAAATACCCTGCAATCCAACTTGTTTGTCCCCGTGGCATCTCAAAAGGGTTAACGCCCAATATGATCTTACCAATTGGAAAGATTTTGCTCTAGAGTGGTGTAAGATATGGCATAAGTGTCACCAACATGTCTTGTAATTCCCTGTTTTCTTCAACCAGAGTAATATGCGACACATAGATCAATATTTAGCTTGGTACAGATCGGTTAGTAACCTAGAAATGCACGTATCTCATCCAAGGTATTTGGTTGAACCACGATCAAAATGGGCACAACCCTCATTTTCCCAACAACAAACCCAACACACATCAACCTCCCCGACGATACAGATCCACAACCACTCAGCCACAATCACCACCACAATACGAATACACCCACATGCCCCACACCCAACCACAATCACCACCCCAATATCAATACCCTCATATTCCCCACACATAACCACAATCTCAATACCAATACACCCGCATGCCCCACAAACAATTCCAAATTTCTCCATATTCCAATATGGGCCTCTCAACATCTAACCTTAGCCCTGATATATGATTTTCCGAAGAATATGACCCAACCGACCAAATTTACCATCAACCACCACATCACCAAAGCACCCAATATTCGTAATACTAAACACCCCAGAACTCATTTCCTTTCTACCCTTTACTCAGACGACCAGACGACCAGTGCTATAGACCAGCCATGAAACCCTACCCACCACCAAGACGACCAAACTTTGAGGGTATGGGTAACTGACTGTACCAAAGCGGATCTTCCAAATATGGAGATCTGACCGATTTCATGGATCTGGAACGCATTGACTTCGTTGGGCCATCGACCCTGCCACAATAGGAAACGCGACGAAACCCACAAAGAGACAAGCGAGGACGCGGATGCGGAACCGCAGGTCGTTACCGAGTTCCGGGAGACGACTAATTATTTTGTATTTTTTATTTATTATGTAATCGTTTTGTGTAAATAAAAAGTCGAATATCCGTGAAGCTATATCGTTTACCTAATGTCTCACATTTAAAATAAAAAACGAAAAAAATTAGACCTCATTTGCACTAAGGCGCCATCTCACATAGCTTATGACACACTTTTAACACCTAGGCGCCAAGTGAGATGACGTCTCTCCTTTAATTTAAGGTGTAGGTGCTAAGTGAGATGACTCCTCATTTGTGGAGTTTTCTGAAACATGATTATTTATATAATTTTCTTTGAAACATGGTTATTTATGATTTTTTTTTAAAACTTAATTATTACAAAAAAAATTTAATTAATATTTTTTCTCAATATTTAACAGAAAAGATTAAATTGACTGACAAAATTATTTAAAAAAAAATTAAAATATAATCTTTATTTTATATAATAAAGTCTAAAATGAAACTACAGCCGAAGGCTAAGAATGAATATGGTGGTGGGATCCACGTGTTGTTGAGAATTGGGCTAAGAAATTTGTATGCTTTCATTCTTTTGTTTCTTAACATGCTCTTTGCAGATAGAGGTAGAATGAGCCATTTTATCGTGCTAAGATGATTTTGTCTTTATATGTTATTATAATAATTAAAAATAATAATAAATCAAATAATTTTTCAAATAAATCAAAAACAGACAACATAATATATTAACCCTGCAATACAAAAAAATTATGCATATATAGTAGATTTAAATGAAATTCGCCACAAAATATAATTTTTTGATGTTTGATTTGATAAACAAAGTGTATGAAGTGGGAAAAAAAGGGGGGAATTATCTGCTATATATTCACAGCTATGAAAGAAAATTTGAAAGAAAAAACTTTAAATTCCGTTTGTTTTAATTTTATAAAAAAATAGTTTTTTTAGTATTTTTAAAAGCAATTTTTATAAAAAAAAATTAAAATACCAAAGTTTTTTAATTTATTTTTTATAAATTAAAAGATTAATTTTGACATTAAATAACATAAAAATAAATTATTGAAGATTAAAACATATTCAAAATTACAAAAAATTATTAAAAAAAAGTATTTTGAAAATGATTCTTATAAAAAATCATTTGAAATAACTTTAAATTTAAGTAATTTTTTAAAAATTTAATATAAAAAAATTAAAATAAAATAATAAAATACTTAAAATAATATTCTTTCAAAAAATTCTCTAAAAAATGTTTTGAACAAAATATGTTACGCTATAAAAAGAATATAACAAAGGCCATTAGATTGAATCCTTATTTTGAACTCCCGCATGTTTCATCATGAGTTGTGAGCTGGACAAGACAAATTGATCACAATAGCTTGGCACAAGTGTTGCAAGCCTTTTGAGAAGGGGGGTCTCGGTGTCAGATCCATCATAACTTTGAATGAGGCCTCAAATCTTAAACAATTTTGGGAGATGATGAACTATGAAGAACAAAGGACAATAATTATCAGATACATAGTCATTAGAGATGGCAACCATTATAAGGTATCATAATTTGATTCTACATAAAAAATTAAATGTCAACTTTTGCAATTTTTGTAGATATTTTGTTGAACGCTTATATTGAAGTTGCAAAATGTATCATCCACTAAACAATAGCAAGCCAGTGAACGACCAATTGCATAATGGAACCAATCTCATATAGAACCTTGCAGCCATTCAATGATAAAATCAATTACAGCCTAATCTAAGAATAAAATAAATTCAAGATAGCATGAATTAGGAACTTGTTTCCTCATTATCATTAGCTTGCTCAAAACCCGAGGATAAAATGGGATTGGCTACATCTCAATGGAAAATTTCTATGCTATAGAATATCGCCTCCAATCAAACTCCCTTTAACTTTCCTGAACACTACTACCTTTAAGAATACATTCAAACTCAAATAAGATTAGAGGACTTTAAAAATCTGATCGCCCGACAATAATGTGGCCATATCGATTCCACAAAATCAAGATACTTTTCCATTAACCATTCTTGCAATACTTTCAATATTCTTCGTGTTAGCTGTACATAATCAACATCTTTTAAGCTCGATATAGGCCGCAAAAGATAAACTGCAATATGTTCTTTGAGCCCGCCGCCGAAAATATAGTTGTTGAACAAAATGCACCAATAGGGTACTTTCCTAAGTACGTTGACGGTTCGATTGAAGCTTAAGGCATAGAGTGCACAAAGACTGCGGATTATCATTATGTGTATAGCCACAATTAATGGCCCGAAAACCCATAAAGGAGTTAATTCCTTCGAAACTTCAGCCCCGTATTTTACATTAACAGCCAGGTAGAGAGGAACACTGCAGATAGAAGATACATTAGACACATAAAAGCATTATTGTGCAATTGATGTAATTGGCATTATTTAGAATGCAATAAAAGTTGAACAGTGATGCAGAAGCTCGTTACATAATATATTGACTACACAGTAAGCAAGTCATGCCCCCTCTACCCCTTCATTCTATTTCTCCATAAATTCCAACCAAAAGTTAGCTACAACCAATACATCTAAGTTGACACATGATGAAATTAAATATGAGACAATTGACCTCTGGAGCAGTGACACCTGTGAAAAAAGGCGCGTCCGTGTCAATGTCAACGGACACCGACAAGTCACCGACACTTGTGATTACGTTCAACTTATTTATTTTTTCAAATTATTATCGATGTCAATGTGTCAGTGTCTGGTGTTCGTGTCAGTGCTTCATAGCAATTGTCAGACAGTAAATTAACTTGAAGACTAAACAAATGAGCATACATCTTCCTTTCACAGAGCTAGTAAAGTATGCAGACAGGGGAAAAATCACCATACTTACAATACCAACAAAGGAATCTTTACTGCAGCATCCAGGGCCATAAAATGGGACCATGCCACCTTAAAAACCTCACTTCTGTCCTTGCTATGAGTCCTTTGTAGAGTTTCAGGTAAATTTGTTGGAAACAGTTTTCCGAAAATTCCATCCATGTCTTGACATGATGATTGGGTGCGCAACATTTTCAACCATTTATTGAAGAGTCCATGAAAAGCAGATGACGCTGCAAGGCTATCACTTGCTTCAGATGCATAAGAGAACGGCACATTGTGAGTTTCCCCACTCTCCTCTAGTCCAACAGAGGTCTTAGGTGCCTTCAACCAACTAGCCCTTGAATCATCGTTACGAGGTATGCCTTTGAAGCCTGAAATCCTCAAAGGTTTGATCTTGGATACACAAAAGCAAGGAGGTCCTACGCTGGAAACAATAAATAAACCCTTTAGGTTGAGAAAAATAAAAGGTCATGATCATTCAACTCATGCATGGTTCTACTTCTAACATTGATGTTAAGCAATAAATAGTTTCAAACTAAACTTCATATGTCTCTACCTTAAACAAACATTATGCTTTGATAGGTGATGCCAGCTTGTTGTTCCAATCATGTGATATTTTGTCAAACACTGCTTCAACTTCAACCTTCTGTTCCATGAGAAATGCCTAGTGGAAGGTGTGACATAGAAACCCTGATAACAAAAAACCAAATCATCCATAAAGATCATAAATCAAACACCCAACACAAGCACAAGAACAATAAACATACTAAACAACCCACCAAGTACCTGGGGTTGATGTGCTACAAAAGCCATTTCAAGACAAAACCTTATCCAAATCCACTGAATGATTACGCGGTGAGACCGTGTCGAGGAAGAGTGCAGTGGAAAGGGAGAGGAGTTGAATAGAGTGATCAATGTGAAGTGTGAAAGGGAATTTGAAAGGAAATTGAAACTGTGTTGAACCCTAACATTACATAAGAGAAGATGATGATAGAGAAAAGATATATGATCGGACACCTGGCACTTGCATCATCCCCTATTACTCTTTTGCTCCTAATAAAATACTATAATAATCATTAATATACTTTTGTTTTCGCTTACCAAAGGTACAAATAATTTAGAATGCCATAGGAAATTTAAAAATGTAAACATTCAAGAGAATTTTTTTCACCAATGAGTGAGATTATATGAAAATGATATTTGCAAGGTGATGCAATATCCATCAAGGGGCAAGTCGATAACATTCATTAGCTAAAACAGGACTTTTAACTGTCATTTATCTTTGATGTTTATCTATTTATCATAACCATTACTTTTTAATTAGAGTGCTCGTTCACATGTGAAAATATTGGGAATAATTTGTTTCCTTTCAATAACGGTATTAAAAATATTCAAAAATAAGAGATAGGTTTTCAAAAAGAATGAGGGAATAATCACTTATATCACCATGCTCTTAAGAGTGGATATTATTTCCTTGGAGTCTAAGATTCAGGTTTAATAGATTCATATAAATACCTTAACTTTGGAATTGAGGGGCACATTCATTTTCACTCAAAAAAATTAGTATGAAAAATTATTCACCTCCATGTGTGAACTTGCTCTAATACTACAACACTTCTAAAAATCTCTAACACAATCTACTTCTACCTTTCATATGGCCCAACGACTTTGACCCACTAGCTCTGACCTTTCAGTCGGACACACGTGGTCGACTGTACCCCATGAACAGAGAGACCAATGATGCCTTGAGTCATACGTCTGCCCGCATCGGTAACTACCTTCAAGTCTGCTTGACTCGCGTGAATCAGACAACCAAGAAAACGCTCATAACGTATATGCCCGTAATCTTTACCTTGCTCGAAGCAACGACTAGTTACGAGCACGACTGTCCGTTTTGACTAAGTCCTAGAAGTTACCTATTTTCTAGGAACCTAATATCCAGGCCCAAAAATAGGGACCAATGGCCAAGCGTCGAGGGTATTATATAAACCCTCACACTTGTGAGGATCAGGTATCAAATATTCACACTAAAAACCCTAATTTCTTTCTTGTATCTCTTTGTATCAATTCTTACTTGATCGTCGGAGTGCCTTGCATGTACACCCCCTGCTCTCCTCAAATTTCTAGCCTGGAAAGCGTCATATTTCGGCCCACTTTTAGGTTCTGATCAATCGGTAAGATCATTGGTGTCGTCTGTGAGAATTTTGTCTTCCCCATCCTCCTTTCCTCGAAACTGAAGATCAAAGCGACATTTAAAAAATCCTATCATGGCCGATCATGACGACAACCATCTTTCTGGAAAAACCATAATTTCCCTTGTTCGCAAGACAGACGGAAACGAAGAGCCTCCTCACCTCAAGGATATCCCTGACACCAGAGACAGTCGAACTACATCCCTCTACTCGGTCGACAGAGATCACGACGACATTCAATTATTGGAGAATCAGAAGTCTAAGAAATCCACCGAGGACCCACCAACGATCCTCCAGCCAGTTCTAATCCCACCCAACGTTGATTCGACCATAGCAGTTATGATCGCCGCTCTCAACAAAACCAATACCTTAATCCTGCAACAGAGCAACAATATTAGAGCTTGGGGAAGAAGCACCAGTTAAGATCTTCCCCTCGAAAATACTAACGACATAACTCCCGCAGTCCATCACCATCAAGGCGTGGTCACCGTCCCACGTGAGGTAAGCAAGAAATCTTGTTTCTCAAGAAACAAGGTTGCGCCCCTCCCCAGAAAGATTGACGCTCCCTGATCACTGATAAGTACAAATTGTAGTTTTTTGTATATACTTTTTGTTGCACTTATCGACTCTTTATTGTTAATATCAGTTGAATAACCCAACTTTATAGAAAGGGAAGGTGTTAGCATCCTTTCTATCTATGGTTTTCCATGGGCTCTTAGGTACCTGCTCGTTTTTGAAATTGCTTTCATGTGTTTGTGTGTTTGAAAAGTTTTGAAATTGCCTTAGTGCGGAGTTTCACTTAATGGTAACCCTTGTATCAGTCCTCAAGGGTGTGATAAAATGTTTTTGAAAACTTTGTTTGAAAAGCTTGTTTGAGAGTGTATGTGTAAAAAAGTGTTGTTTTGAGCAAGTACCTAAAAGTTCCTACCTACTCGAAAAAGTCTGTTCATTTTCTTATTTCCTTTAGACAGCGTTATCCTACTATTAAGGAGTAAGTAGCTCCACCGTTGAAGTTCAAGGGACAATCGTAAGGGACGAAAGGGACAATTACAATCATTAAAGAAATAGTTAGGAAACCGTAGTAATTACCCTAGAGTCCTAAAGATCTTTCTGAGGCAACATTCGAATGGGTCGTTTTTAATCTTTTGGGACTAGAGGACAACCACTAAGACTCCCTATACTTCATGATCGTTTATCGAAGGCAACCGAAGTGGGGCAAACCCTAGGAGTGAGCATGTGCAAGTGTTTATTTTTCAGTTTATTTATCTTGCAATTAGGGTTTTCTACTGTATTAATTTGATTTATCTTTTGCATACAAGCCTATTATCCATACATCTAGACAGTTTATAGTTGCAGAAAATTAAAAGCGGAAAAGTAAATCTACGCTATTACAAGGCTTCGGGGAGGGGGTTACATAACCAAAAAAGCTGGGGATTGAAAAGTAAAATAATAAGCAGTAAAATAAACCCTAATAAAAAGCCATTACAAACTCGAATCAAATACAATAATTAGAATTAAAAATAAAACATTGTGCGCGCGACGAATTAAATACGCGAATCAAAGTCTAAATTCAAAGGAAATCAAAGAAAATATTTTTGTTATTTTTTTATTGAGAAAATTAAATATTTGAAAATTAACCCTAATTTTCTAATTGATTTTAATTATGGAAAAAAGAATTTAAATTACCCTAATTAAATTAACCTAATTAATTAATGAAATCAATTATTAAAAAAAAAACCTAATTCTAATGTTTGATGATTTTATGATTTTATGATTTAGTAAATAAAAATGTTTTTTTTAAATAAATAAAATAAATAAATAAAATAGAATAATAAAAAATAAGAAAGAAAAAACAAAACTGGGTATGTTGCTGGAAGTGAACTGGGGGTGCAAAGTTGAAATTGCCAAGGCCCAGATTGGTTGGCCCATGTTCCTTGTGTGTGATCCCATGTGGATTAGCTTCAGAGAATGCACCATGGACTGTTGTGGTTGGATATTGGATCTGGATTAAGGGATGATCCAAAGGGTAGGATTTGTGAGCGCATGATGGACGCATGGAATAGTGATGTACTGAATCCTGCAGTAAATTGTTAAGAAAAATAATAAAAGCACACGCCTGGGATTGAACCCAGGACGTTTGCTTCATAGGCACACTCCTCAACCATCTGCGCTAGCTGGACTATTTGAAAATATAATAAAACAAATAAAATATAATGGAAACAAAGTGCCTTACTCAGAAACACGCGCCAAATTCAAATGAGCCAGTGTGTGGCTGCCACGTGATCGTCTTCCTCCCAGAACTGTTGTTTTTGGTATTATACTTTTACCTGCGGACAAAACCGTCACTAAAGGCTATAATGAATGTTTTTGTTCGTAGCTACATCTCTGCAAGATTCAAAAACATAATATACGCAAAATAAATCCTATCTAAAGGCATAGGTCGACTGGAAATCATGCCCTAAGTCCATTGGCACCCATAATCTGGTTCAATTTTCCCTAGAGAAGGAAACCCCAAATTTGAGCTTACGAACCCTAGCCATGGCAAATGCTTATACCTGCACTTAAACTCAGATTAAACAATCCAAAAACATTGCAAATATGATGATAGACACGAATATATGATCAAAACATGTTTATGATGTGTAAATCAATGAATTCGAGTTTGGATAAAAGAGACAAACCGTTATGTTGTAAGGGAGCGATTTTGGACGTTTCAGGCCTTGTGGATGATGGGAATAGCTTCCTGAGTATACGTGGATGATTACTGAAGACTCGAAACTCCTTGAATTGGCCTATGGAGAGGGATCCGATCTGCACTTTTTTCCAAAATCTGCAACTTTGTTCTTGCTATTTTACACGACCAAAAACCCTTTTTCATGCCTTGGGAATGTTATGTACTTATAGTGGAATGAATTAGGTTAACAAAAACGGGTCATATCTTTGCAAATTATGGAGATTTGATTTGATTTTTTGTCTTGTATGATTTGTTTCTAAAATAGACCAAATCATGATTTTTTTTCCAATCCAAATAGCCCTTGCACGATTTGGATGATTTGCTAGTTGTTCATGCACTCATAATGTGCTCATAAAATCCAATCTTTGATTTTATTTGATTATTCTACTATTTAAATTGATTTATTTTGATTTAAATGGATAAAAAATCAAAATAAATAATAAGAATAATATAATAATAGGTGGATAAGCTCAGGGGTCGTGGGTCATCTTAGGAACAAGTTTCAAACAAGAAAACATGGGCCCATTTGAAAAAAAAGTCATTTTGATCAATGTTGACTTCATGCACATTTCCAAAAATTGGTCAACTTTGACAATACATATCTTCCTCAATTTTAACCCTAAGAGGGTATTCTTGGACTTTTTAGAAATCTTAGGATGTCCCCTAAGCAACTTCTTCAGTTATATATCAATTGGAGCTTCCATGTTCATGTAAGGAGCCTTGACCCAAAAGGTGTTTTTGTTGACTTTTTAAATGACCTATAATATTTGAATTTATATCTTTTCATGAGTGCATTTATTGAACTTGAGAGCTGAAGATGAGTTGTAGGGAATTGGATTCTCTTAAAAATGAGCCTTGGATGAGAAATTTCTGATAAAGTATGAGAA